AATCAGAGCAGGCCTGTCCCGCCAGAGTCCAATTTGGTGCCTTTTCAGACTTGGCAGCGTTGGCAGCACACGGGCTGTTGCTGTTGCCGTCCACACATGGACTCATTGCTATAAACCAGCCCTAATGATGTATCGCAGGAGGGCTCTGCCTGGGGGGATGATCATTCCACTGAGCTCCTGTGAGAGAAAGGAGAGATGGAGAAATAAGACGTTGCGAAGGCCAGGTCCACGCAGCGTCTGTCGAAGGAAATGGTTGTCTCAGGTAAATTGTAGTTCAGGCTGCTAACACCCCCTGCCCCCCCCCATCCCGCCCTCGTACAGTTACATTAAATTGTCTCCTCTTACAGATGATTTCTGTGGTCTTGCCTTGCACTCTAACAAACATCGAAGTTGTTTTCCAGCTCTCCACCAGCTTCCAGAAGCATTGGCCTTCTTCTCTAACCCTCTGATTGTTTCTTGTCGTACTCATTTGTGAAGGTAGAATTTTTATACGGGCAATGCTGATACTTCATGGTACACCGTACTGGCTTTGAAGGTGGTGATCAGGATAGTGTAATTAACTGTCTGGTCTTTCCTTTTTAAAGACTTTTTTTATTTTGAAAACCTAGGGTGGTGTTTGTTTGTTTTTAGACTTTGTTTTTAAAATCTAGTTCTCATTAAATGCCTCAAAGAAACGTTTGCAAAATTGTACTTAGAAATGTTAACGATTTCATCGTTATTTGGCAGCAGCAGCAATAGTGCGGTTGCATTGCTTGTGTAACTGGCCGCCTCAGTTAAAATTACCCTTAAGTGTAAAAAACAAAAATTTATCCTAAAGTGTAAATGTCTTTTTTGTTTTTGTTTTGTTTCTGTTTCTCCCCACCCCCCCACCCACCCGGCCTCCCAAGCTGGGTGTTGTGTTCAGACATTCGCTACATGTGTAGTTAGCGTCCTGTTTTTTGTTATCAAAGGTTTCTGAAGATTACCCCCTGAAGTCTCCCAAACGTAGGTTACAGCGGAAAGCAATGTATTTGTGTCCCCTACTTCTCTATAGTTTTTGTTCTTGTTATTGTTAGTTCGTTTTTCAAAAACAAAGACTTGGTTGGGTTTCTAAGATGATATTTGCCTGTTTTTCTACGTTTTCTATTTTTTGTGTGTTTAGAACTAATAATTTTAAGGAAAAAAAAAGGCACAGCTGTTAAATTATTTGGGCACCCCGTTTAGACTTTGATTTATAGAGATCAAAGAACAAGCGTTCCCCCATCACCTCCTTTGAACTAAGCAGCAAGAGAACATCACGGCGTGTGTCACGCACACTTTCTACTCGCAGGTAGACTTGGCCCGACATCTGTCCCGAGCTCCCCCTCCCACCTGCCCTTTCCACGCCTTCCGTCTTCTTTGACTGTCTCTCTCTTTTCATTCCCGTCCTCGGAGTGAGGACCCCAAACCTGCCAGTTCTCCTCCCGTGCCGCCTACCTGGTTTCTGAGGCCTCCCCAGTCCAAGCTTGCAACGCGTGCTCCTGGCAGACAGGGTCTCCCCCTCGTTCAGAACCCTGATGGCTTCATGAACCAACACAGAGACTCCCGGCTGCCCATTTGGACAGCCCACTCCCACCCCCTCCCCAGGTAGCCTGTCTAGGTGGGCTCTCGCCGCCTGGGACAGACCTGTGCTCTGTGGCCCAGCCTCCTGGGCTTGATCCACATGTCCAGGGTGAGCCTTCTTTGTGCCTCGGACTGGTATTTCCTGCAAACGCTGCCGGGAGAGTGCCTGCTGCCTCCTGGATGGAGCCTCCTCCCGCCTCTCCACAGGACATTGCTTTCTCCCTCTGTTTGCTATCACACTCGAAAAGAAGCTCTAGCCAGTTTGGCTCAGTGGGTAGTGCATCAGACCGCGGACCAAAGGGTCCTGGGTTCGATTCTGGTCAAGGGCACGTACCTCAGTTGCAGGCACCTTCTGGGCCCAGGTCCTGGTCGGGGCTCGTGCAGGAGGCAACCAATCGAGGTGTTTCTCTCACATCGATGTTTCTCTCTCTCTCTTTCCCTCTCTCTTCGACTCTCTCTAAAAGTCAATGGAAAAACATCCTTGGGTGAGGATTAATAAAAAAAAAGAAGAAAGAAAAAATGTTGGAGAGGGGGAATTTTTATTTATTTCACTTTTTATTAGAATTTAAAGCAAAATGAGAATAGTTTAATAGAGTTTAGTGATATGTGCTTGGGGATTCAACAGTGATCAACTTTGGACCAATCCCATTCATCCATCCTCCCCTACCCATTCCCCCGCCATTACCAACACTGGAGTACATTGAGGCAAATCCTGGACATCATATAATTTCTTTTTTTAAAATATATATTTTTATTGATTTCAGAGAGGAAGGGGGAGGTAGAGAGTGATAGAAACATCAATGAAGAGAGAGAACCATTGATCAGCTGCCTCCTGCAGGTCCCCCACTGGGATCAAGCCCACAAGCTGGGCATGTGCCCTAGACCGGAATCGAACCTGGGACCCTTCAGTCCGCAGGCCAGTGCTCTATCCACTGAGCCAAAACGGGTAGGGTGACATCATATAATTTCATTCATTAATGTTCTAATACATAGCTCTAAAAGAAAAGCCTTTTGTAAAAGACAAAAGCAATATCACCATATAACACCTAAAAAATTAACAACTCTTTAATGTTATTAAATTTCTACTATTCAGATTTCTTTGATTAGCTTGTAAACTTGATATTGCCGTTGGTTGGTTCAAATCAAGATCCAAATAAGGTCCATATGTTGTCTCTCTTTTTAAAAATATATATATTTTTTTATTGATTTCAGAGAGGAAGGGAGAG